CTCTTGAAGGCCGCAATGGATGTGGTATCATTCCCGGAAACAATCAGATCATCAACATAGACCAGGACCTGCAGATGGACAGAACCACGATGTAGTGTAAAAAGAGAGTAGTCATGATAGGACTGACAAAAACCATACTGCTTCAAAGTCGTAGACAACTTGGCAAACCAGCAGCGGGGAGCCTGCTTCAAGCCATAGAGGGAACGACGAAGACGGCAAACCTGCTCATCAACGCCAGAACGAAAACCAGGGGGAAACTTCATGTAAACCTCCTCAGCCAAATCACCATGAAGAAAAGCATTGTGAACATCCATCTGGTGAACTTCCCAATGCTTAGCAGCAGCCACAGCTAAGAATAACTGGACTGTAACCATTTTGGCAACGGGAGCAAACGTCTCATGATAGGCAAGACCTTCCATCTGATTATTGCCCAAAATCACCAAACGCGCTTTATAGCGCTCAACGGAACCATCAGACTTATGCTTGATCTTAAAAACTCACTTGCATCCAATCGCACGCTTCCCAGATGGAAGAGAAACTACATCCCACGTGCCATTATTCTCCAAGGCACGAATCTCATCCTGCATAGCGGATCGCCATCGAGGATCGGTCACAGCATCAGCAAAAGTGCGAGGCTCAGCAGCGGAGGCGACAGCAGCCAAAAACAATCAATGAGCTGGAGAGAATGAATCACAAGAAATATAATGTGATATGGGATAAGGTGTACCGGAGGATGGAGACGACTGGGGAGAAGCATTGGGAGGTACAATCGAGGGTCGGACAGTGTCAACCACAAAATCCTTCAACCGAGTGGAAGGAACCTTAGTCCGATGACCACGACCCAAGGGCTCCACTGGAAGAGTGGGAGGGGTATTGGTAACAGAACCCCCTCTGTCGTCAGACGTGTCCATATCGCTAATGGAAGACCCAGTATGAGGAGAAATGTGAGGCAAAGAGACAACTGGAAGATCTTCATCATCATCCGACGCAGAAGAAATCGGCACAACAAGAGGCGGTGACAAAGAATCTGTCTCAGACGAGTCTGACTGATATGGGAATTCAGTCTCAAGAAACTCCACATCACGAGAGACAAAGAAAATTTGACGATCCAAATCATACAGACTCCACCCCTTCTTGCCAAACGGGTAACCAACAAATAGACAACGACGACTCCGAGCAGCCTACTAACGCCTTACCCCCAAATCTCAATTGATGGGGTTACCAACAAAAATAACAAATTTAGCCGCAATATTGGACTTTTCCACTTCTTTTTTTTTTTTTTTTNACTCAATTTTGAGAAATTCACTTGCGATCTGAACATTTTTTTTTTTTCGGCGATATGAGATATGAGAAAAAGAATTTGACAGAAGCGACGGATCCGAAACTGAAAATTATAGATGAAGACAATCAGCAAAAATATTTGACAGATAAATTTTTGCGATGAGAAAAAATCAAGATCTGTCTCTGATACCATGATACGAGAGACGACACAAAATTTGAGGTGAAAATCATCTCAATGGGATAATCCAATAACTCTATTAACCAAGTATATATATACAAAATTAGGGCTAGATAACCTAAGACTAATACGGTAAATACACAAATATACACAATAACAATTTCCAATGTATTAGTTTTTTTCTATTTTTACTTTGCCTAGTGAACTGTTTTAACTGCATCAAATATCGAACCAAATTCATGATATTTCGTTTGACATTGTTGGTTAAAAATAAAATTTTGAATTTTTGCAAATTTATATTATTTAGTTTGATTTTTAAATACTTCAATACAATATCATACTTTTATTTATATTATTTTTATAATATGTTATTTGAATTTAAAAATATTTTTATTTATATTATTTTTAGAATATGTTATTTCAATAAAAAAATATGCATTTCAATCAACATCCATGCCTAAATCAACCTTCCTGTATTCAAAATCATAATGCGAATAATTTGTTATATGTAATCTATATATGTAAATTTTCCAATTTTGAGAAATTTAACCCCTTTACAATTGCTTAGGTTAATATCAAGAATACGAGATCACAATCTTAGCATCAAGATTATGTTATTTTAACAATTAAAATAAACTTAATGTGTCAGACGGCGGCTCTCTTTCNCCCCCCCCCCCCCCTCCCTCTCTCTCTCTCTCACTTTCCCCATCCCTGCTCTCTTTCTTCCTTCTCTATCTATTTCACGCGATGGCTCAAATCGCACAAGGGCTAGACAGAATCGGCGGCCAAGTATCACTCAATTTCCTCTATTTTTATTTTATTTTTTTCTTTTTTGGATTGTTTTCTCAATTCGTAGACCACCCAACCTCATCACCCTTTTGACGGCGGCGACTGAGAAGGTCGTGATTGGGTAAGAGTCGCGATTGGAGGTTTGTATGCACGGTAATGAAGGCGGATAAAAAATCAGCGGTTTTGATGGCTCTCGGCCCAACTTCTCTCTTTACTTGTTATGGTTCATATCTGAATTCAAAAACGAAATAGGAACTAAAATCAATCAATTCGTCGATCGACTTCGAGCAATGCTATGATTCACCAGCGCACCGTTGAAGATGCACCAGGGCTCGTTGAGGAGATGAAGGGGTGACGTTGGGAGTGGTGAGGTCAATCAATCACGTTTCTAACATTGTTTATATGTTGTTTATCTTATAAATAACTACATTGGATTTGAATATTGCAGTCATTCAAATTTGTGTATTATGTTTAATTCTATTTCAGGATTGTTTATATGTTGTTTATCTTATATAATAATAGAGAATTGTCATATCATATTTATTTGATGTATATACACAGTATATCTGAACATATATTTGGTGATTGGACGATTTTTCTTTTCGAATTCAAGATGTCGATTAACCGTTTGAAAATTTAAAATCGTGAATCTTTTAATTCTAGGTATTAGATTTTGTATTTTTTTTTTTATTTTTTTTTTTTGAATATTTGTCTTGTTGCAGTTCTTTCGGCCAAATTGATGATATGGAGAGAGAAACAAATAACCAAGTGAGAGAATGAAATCTCGTAATTGTGAAAACAAAAAAATCACATCCAAATCTCCTTTTAATTAAAGTTTATATGTTTCGTATACATGTAAATATTTGTTATGTAATCAATATATGTAAATTTCCCATTTTTATATCCCGTTTTTACCCATGAACTAGGCCCAACACAGTAATCATCGGGGCCTGCCCGTCGGGTTCCTCACTGTATTCAAAGGGGAATTTACATATATAGAGTTCATCTAAGATATATTTACATATATACGTACTAATGAAAGTTTAATAAAAAAAAAACTTGCATGTGATATTTTTTTTACACTTACGAGATTATCTTTCTCTCACTTGGTTTCTCTCTCCGTAAATAAAGCGGTAATCTCTCACTTGGTTTCTCTCTCCATAACCTTTCTCTCACTTGGTTTCTAGCAATCAATTTTCCCGAATGACCGGCAAAGAAAACGGAAATTGAAAAAAAAAAAGAAAAAATTACCAAATATGATACTTAGAATTAAGGAATTTTTGAATTCATAAATTCAAACGGAGTTGTCTGTTTTTCCACATCTTAAGTTCCAAAAAAAAATCGTTCATCATACTAAAAAAAATAAAGCTCCGATCAAGAATGGAAAAGAACAAATTGTTGGTCACGAAATCTCATATGTTAAGATATACTGTATATATACATTAGATAAACATGAAAAGAACAAATTGTTCCTCACGAAATCTCATATGTTAAAATATACTGTATATATACATTAGATAAACATGATCTGACAGTTCTCTAATATTAACCGTATAATTATACAAAAGATAAACAACATATAAACAACACTGAAACGAGATAAAACATAATTCATAAATCTCATATGTTTAGATATACTGTATATATACATTAGATAAACATGATATGAGAGTTCTCTAATATTAACCGTATAGTTATACAAAAGATAAACAACATATATAACAACATTGAAACGAGATAAAACATAATACAACATAATACATAATTCTAAATAATTCTAAATGACTGCAAAATCCAAAACGAATGTAGTTATACATAAGGTAAACAACATATGTCTACTTTACATCACATCATCTTCATCAGTAGAGAAGTCCGCCGCCAACTGATTGTCTGCTTCGTCTTCATCAAAGAAGACTTGTCGATGAAGATTCAAGCATCTTGCTTTTACCCTTGTTCGCAATATTCCTTTTCTTCTTTATGGTGTCTTTATGACCATCTGAAATGCGTGAAACTTCGATTGGTGGAAGCAAGGGCGAAACGCGCTTGTCAATGGGGGATCTCGGCGGTGGAAGCGCGTGGCCTTGAAGCTCTCGTATATGGCTGATCGGAGGGGTTCGGGTCTGAGGTTTCCTCGACAAGGGCTTGTTGCGAGGACGCATGTGAAAGCGGCGGATAGGAGCTGCTTTGCGAGGGCGAGATGTTGAACGGCGGACAGATCGCGGCGGGTCTACTAGGAGTGACCGATTTTTTTTTTTTTTTTTTTTTTATACGCTGCTCAATGGTGAAAATTAAGAACAGAGAAAGGAGAAAATTTTTGCGCGAGAAAAAGATGAACGAGGGAGAAAAAAAATCCTTCGGCCTGAGTATATGAAGGAGAGAGAAAGACGTGCGTTGGACTGCTTCTTGAGGAAGAAGATAACGTGGTTATGTCGTCTGCTTGAGGGAGACCTCTTCTCACGTTTCAAAAAATATAATTAATCCCACTTGATGGTTAATTAGGCCATATATAACCGTCTGACCTATTAATAATCTTTTAATTATTAAAAACGTAATTTTGATGAAAATTTTGGGAGATCGTAATCGTGATATTATTTAGACAATGAATTGTAAAAGGAGTAAATTTCTCGTATTCAAAAGTCCTCTCAAACACATGTCCAAATAAGTAAGTACATAAAAAATTGAATATGCTGCATATTTGGCCTTTTCAGCTAATAAATGGAAACTAATTTTTGTTGGCGTAAAATCAATTTTAGTCCAGACAAAAAAACAAAAACCTCATCCAGTAACATGATTTTCCATCAAAGTTAACGCAGTGGCAAAAACACATTGACCAGACAGGAACACAAATATACATAAAATATGTTTAAATTCAAGAGCTAGTAGTGATAACATTCACATGACACACCTCTCAACAATACTTTCAAAGAACTCCCAAAGTTTCATCACAAACTCAACATGATACAAAAAATAACACAACAGCTCATTTACACTATTTTCCAGAACAAACAAACCTGGTGGGACTAAACCTGGTAAGATCAACAATACTCGAACATCCATCCATCACAAGCTCGGCCACAGCTGCACCTGTGGCCGGCCCATTTAATATTCCCCAACAGCTATGACCCGTGGCTACATAACATCCCTCAATTCCTGGAACTTGTCCAATAACCGGTAAACTATCATCCGTGCAAGGCAAGAAGCACGCCTGCTCAGCTTTCACCCGAGCCTCCCCTTCGGCCAACTGAGTCGACACATTTCTTGCTACTGTTTTCAAAACCTGTATAGATTCGGGCACTGGGTTTACCTGCTCGGGATCATCTGGTACTTCTGCCTCGGCCGACATCCCACATATGTAAACCTCTCCTGTTTAAAATTTGTGTTTCATATCAATTAGCATAAAAGAATGGTGAAAAGATCAAAGTTCACTGCTGAATCTAAAGTTGATTTTATGTAAAGTAGGAAAAAAATGACTGAAATTGATGGTTAGTTAAAATTATGTGAGTGGATGGATAGTGAATTAAAGTTGATGTAGTGTAATAATGATTGGTTGATATTATTTAATTATATTGATAATATTGAAGATAGTGGGGATCGGTTGAATTGATTTAAATTTAAGTTTTAATTGGTTTTTAACTAGTCTAGTTTATATTCAATCACTCTAAATATCTAACACAAAAGATAGTTGATAGCTGATATCGAGGCTAGTGACTGAAAATCTAGCTGATACAATCAAATTATTTAGTAACATCTATACTTATATAAAAAGTCATCCTATTTACTAGAAATAGTAAGCAGAAAAGTCAAAGATAATTAATACTTGCTGGAAGTAGAATGACATTAATTACAGATTTATTTTGGTATTTATAGATTTAACATTAAAGATTTGTTATAGAATAAAAATCAGAACCGATTTTTTTACCTTTGCTGGAAAAGTCAAAGATAAGTACAGATTTGTTTATATTATCAAATCATAAAAAGATATTAAATCCATATTGTAAAAAAAGTAATTCATATAATTTTATAAAAATTCTACTATTTAACAGTATTCTTTTTTATTATATAATAAAATAATAATTAAATATTATATGGTGAACAACAATAAGTAAAATTGTTACTTTCTCTTATATCAAGAGATAAACTTATATGCTAAAATTAAATTTTTATTAGTATAAATGTTTGTGACATAATATATTAATTTTTTACAAGCTAACTCCAACATGCTCATATTTAATGTTCTGGCTAAAAAAAACACTGGTTAAAAAATATGAAAAAAACACTTATAATAATCCTATTGTTTTTTAGACTTAACGTTGATTAAAAGATGTAGAAAATGGATAATAACCCTATTATTTTTTAGACTTAAACGGACAAGGCTGTGAAAATAACTCATATAATATCTCTGTCCCGTGCATCGCACGAGGTACGTACTAGTTATTAACTTATAAGTTAACTAAAATAAAAATTCCAATGAAATTCTCCAAACGTTAACTTGATAAGCAATTGAGAGAAAATCAAGTTTTTTCTTAACTAATGTCATCTTAGGTAACTCGATAAGAAATTGAGATAAAATCGAGTATTTTTGACAAGTTTCATCCCAAACTTATTTCAATACACGAAGCTATATAAATAACACATTAGTGCTTACCAAGCACCCTACATCATTTCATAACTAATACTATGAGATGAATGGGGGAGTAGACTACCTGTTGGACGAGGATACACCTCTGGGTCCATGGGCTTCCCACCTTGGGCCGGATAATAACTCAGAAACAATGCGTGAGGTGTTATCGCACTAGGATCTCCAGGCTCCAAGACAATGCTATGGGCCTTAACCCCATAAACCCTAAAAATCGAGCCCAATAGTGAGAACTTCACCGTCCAAGGCCCAAGAGCCAACACAACAGCATCAGCCTCAATCTCTCCACCGCCCTCCAGAGCAACCGCCTTCGCCTTCCTTTCCTCCACAGCCACCGTCTCCAATTTTCCGATCACCACCTTCAGCCCGTACTCATCCACGGCCTTCGCCAGCAGCGTCTTCGTGAACAGCTGAGGGTGCACTTGGGCCGTCGTCTCTGTCGTCCCGATGGTCCTTGGGCCTTTCGCCGGCCCATCGACCCAGGAGGGAACACCGGGACGGCCCGAATTTTTACCCAATTGAGCGGACGAGGACGGCGTCGTTTCGGTTATCGAGAGGCTGAGGGTTGTGAGGGCCCGGTAGCCGTACGATTCCGCGCCGTTGAGTTCCTGGGCAAGCGAGCGGTGGAGATTGAAGCTGGTCCGCGCGAGAGATCCGACGGGTCCGCCGTCGCACCAATCTAAAGCGAGAAAGCCGCCGGCCTTTCCGGAGGCGGCGCAGGCGATTGACGATTTCTCGACGAGCGTCACGGCCGCGCCCCTTTTGGATAAGAAGTAGGCGGTGCACACGCCGATGACGCCGCCGCCGCAGACGACCACCCTTTTGGGCGGGTTTTGAGGGTCCATTGTCGGCGGTGCCGACGAGGAGCAGCGAATGGAGCAGTTTATCGGAGTTGATTTGGCGGTTCGGAGTTGGACGGGGAGGGTTTGGTGTGGGAGTGGTGACACATGCCACAAATAGAACTATAAAACAATGTTTCACAATGGAATTAAAAGTGGACCTAGTCTAGTCTACGGCAATCAGAAAAAGAGATTAGTCTAAACTTGGGTCTATTTTAGACCCGAGTACAAACCTAAACAATCATTATTTATTTTTAATTTAATCTTTCTTTTAATAAAGAAAACATATTAGAATATTTTTATTGATTGACATGTATGCTAGATCTAGTATTTTATTTTTTGCATTGAATAACTTTTGAATTTTTTTACTTGGGTTTGTTCATGTCATTTAGAACTTAAATCAATTTATATGCCACATATGTAAAATTAGACCCAATGCATTGTGGGTGCTCTAATGGGTTGCGGTTTTGTGGAACGACACGTGTAAAATTTACACCCTAAAACTTTAATTTTTAAAGTTTATAGTAAAATTTCACTAATTATACAGTTTTAATCGTGCCACCAACTTCAACTCATTCTCTTTATAATTTCACTCTAAAAAAATATTCCTAACATATTTTTGTTTCTAATTTTATTAGTTTATTAAAATGTTCTGCAAAATGTTTTGGCTGCTTGTAACTTTGATCTGGAGTTTATCTATGTGCTTAGTGGGTGGGAGGGTTCAGTTTGACAAACGGGGTTTGACGTGTATTTTCCTGTACAGACGATGTGAGATAACTCACAAGTGTATATTATAACATCCCATTCACTTGTGAGTCCTTCGGAAGCCCAAATCCAACTGGACTGGGTGACGGGTACGTCATTGCACGGTCCCACGTAGACCCAAGCCCAACTAGGCTGGGTGAACCGGCTCTGATACCATGACAAACGGGGGTTGACGTGTGCGGTTCCCGGACGAAGCGCACCAAATCAGGGAAATCCAAATGAAGCCCAAGTGAGGTTTCATCCCAAAACTAATTGGTGGAAGGAGGAGTAGCCCACTAGGCTTATAAGTTAGGCCTATTTTCCTTGTACAGACGACGTGTGACAACTTACAAATGTATATTATAACACTCATGATTCAAAAATTTTGACGGATGCTTTAACAAGAAGAAACTGACTCAAAATTCTTGATGGTATTAATTCATATTTCAATAATACACTTTATTAAATATCACAAGCATGAGATAATTATATATTTTATTTGCAGGAAAGTATTTATTGGCCGATTTTGGATATCCAAATAGACGACAGTTTCTTACTCCATAACGAGGGACTCGCTACCATCTTAATGATTTTACAGGTCAAGGTCGTGACCCAAGCAATGCCAATGAATTGTTTAAACTCAGGCATTCTTCATTAAGGAATATAGTTGAGAGGATATTTGGTATATTCAAATCAAAGTTCGTGATTTTCAAAATCGCCACTTCCATTTTCGTTTCTGGTATTGACATGTGCAGGGTTATATAACTTTTTACGAAAAGAATGTCGCTCTAATGAATTTCAAGCATAACCTGAATAAGAAACGGGTCAATCTTGTCCAATAACCAAAGAAGTTAATTTTGGTCCATTTTTTGAAAGTCAAGAACAACAAAGAGTTGCTGCTAATGCATGAAGTGATGCAATAGCAAATGAAATGTGGAATGATGCTATAAAGTAGAAATTGGACTTGCTTATTATTTTTATTTTATTTGAAATTGTATTAGGTGCTAAACTTTTGTGTTCATCAAAAAATGTGCATCTTATTGATTTTTTTACTTTATATTTTTCAATATTTTAATTTTTTCACAAAGTTTTATAGAATCTCTTTAAAGATACGTCATTATAGACATTATTATCATAATATCACCAAATATGTGTTTCAAACATAATTGTTATTAATGTTGTCAGTAAAAAAATATAATTATTTCTTGAGATTATGTGGTTGATTTGATAGAATAAAAAATTATAAGTGAGACAAAAAATATAGTTATTGTATGTCTTGAGATTATGTGGTTTATTGAATATAATAAAAATTATATATCAAATGAGACTTATTGTACAAAAAGATAAATAAACAAACAATAAACTAGACAATTCACATTTCTCCTGGTTCAAATTAAATTTTATTTTCTCTCATGTATAAATTTTCTCACAAGTTCTCACAATGGTATATTTATATATTAATGTTGATGTTTATTCAATCAATAATAAAAATTTATAAACTTCTTGAAAAGTCTTGAGAAATCTATAGAAATCCTGAACAATACCACATGTCACTTTTGAAATTCTTGCGGAGTTGAATGGAGTTTTGTCTGTATTATTGAAGCTTAAGGTAAACCCATTCTCCAACTGCATAATCCTTTTCAACCCTGAATCTATCTGCATATGTTTTCATTCGGTCCTGAGCTGCAGTGAGGTTTTCATTGAGTGTTTGTTTCATAATTTGCCTCTGCCTATTGAATTCCTTAGCATCATGATTGTGTGAATCCTGAGAGACCCTCATAGTGAAATTAGAAAGATCATAACCATAGAGTGCCAGAAAAGTAGTTTTGTGTGCTGAGTGATAGTTTGTGTTGTACCAAAGTTCAACAAATATAAGTGCAATTAATTATCACCAAATAAGTCCATTTCCATTGAAAATATAAATAATGCACCCATTATCTAATGCTTTCACAAAGAATTTCAAACGAACTTTTCTTCCTCCAATTATTTGTAGTGATAATGTGATCGTATTTGTATTACCTAAGAAATATAAGTGCTCTAAGCGGCGGACGCAGAATTTTCCATCAGCCAAGGCAAAATGAAATGAAGAAATACTAATTTTTGTTTTTCTTTTTTAATTCGAAAAAAAAAAAAGATTACAACTTTTCAGTTTTTGACGGGAAGGTAATTGTCCACGACGCGATTTTATATTTAGACGACAAAAGAGTTGAAGAATCCTCTAAATTTTACGCCTTTCGATAATACTTCTCCATTAATGTAAGTCTGCAATCAACAATTGATTTCATTAACATAAGAAATTACCAAATTCCAACTTCAACATCCAACACACTCATTTATAAACAAAAATCAATTCAAGACCGAGACCAAATTCAAACCTCAACATTCAACAAAGTCATTTACAAACAATATTTCAATTCAATTCAGTTATTGCATAAATTGTACGCACACTGCACACCGAATTGCCGAGAAGGCTGCCCGATCGACCGAGACTAAATTTACAGTAAAAAGAGAAAACAAACATAATATAATACAAACAAAACTCTGAGTTTAACAATAATAAAACAGAAACTCCATCCTCACCTTCTATTTTAGTATTTTTAACCATTTTATGTAGAATAATTCTCTATTTAACTAGTGTATATCCCGTGCGATGCACGGAAGAGTTCATAGGGTAAATTGCACCAAACCCCCCTGTGTTTAACGAAATATGCACGGAAGAGTTCATAGGGTAAATTGCACCAAACCCCCCCTGTGTTTAACGAAATATGCACGTTTTTCCACTGTGTTTTAAAAAATGCACCAGACCCCCTTATATTTAAGAGTCTGATGCACACGTTCCCTTTTTTCAATTGGCCCATTAACGGTGTTAGTTTTTATCAATAACCCCATTATACCCTCTTAATATTATATTTATATTTACGATAAATTGAATTTATCGCGAGAAATTAAATAAAAAATTTTTGCTGTCTCAAAGGATCAATCCTGAGACCCCATGACACACTAGCAAGCACTTCACCACCACACCACTCTAAGGTTGAGTGCTAGATGAAGTAACGTTTAATATATATAGCATTACATATAGATAAATGAAATTAAATTTAGAAGATACTGTAAATTATATTAAATTAAGTTATTAAAATATAAACTTATAATAAGTTAAAATATAATAACTAAATTATATAAAATTAAACGAAAAATAATTAAAATAACTTATTATATTAAAAAACACAAAATAATTGAAATAAAATTATAAATAAATATAAAAATTACTATTATAATAATATTATTGTATTTATTTAATATTATTTTTATTTATTATTATTTATTTTAATTTATATTATTACATATTATTTTGTTGCATTATTTATTTTATTTTATCTTAGTTAACAAACTTTATTTATTTTGTTTAACTTAAGACAATGAAATAAAATTAAAATAAATTTTACTAAATAAAATTTAGAAATTAAAATTATTTATTTACAATTAATATTATTTACTAAAAATTATAATTTATTTCAAATTTTTTTTCATATTTTATGTAAGAGTAAATCATATTAAAATTATTTGATAAATAATATTTTTTATTTTATTATATTAATTTAAGATTTTTATTTATTTAATTTATTATTTCATAATAAGTTATTTATTTTACTTTATCATTTTTTTACTTTATTATCTTATATAATTATTATTTTTATTTTAATTTTATTTATTTTTTAATTTAATTTATGTATTATTTTTTCATTTAAAATTTATATAATTAATTTATTTTAATAATTAAAATATAAATTTATTTAATTTTAATCGACGCTAAATTTTATCTTACATTATTGTAATTTAATGTTTTTTATTATTTTATGTTAATTTAATTTATTGGAAGTTATTATTAATTATTTAATTTATAGAAAATTGGCCTATTATACTATTATTTTCTTTTATTTACTTTATTTTAAATATTTAATTCATTTCCGTATGTGTATAAATATATACTTATGTTCAATAAATTACACATCCTTCCATATAGCCTAGTGGTTGAGTGGGCAATCCTTCCCTTCCCAGCCCAGGATCGAATCCTACTTCTTACATTTTCGATTTTGTAATAACATTTAAGAGGGCAAAAAGGTAAATTATTAATTATGTAAAATAAAAAAATTGAACAAATCTCGCAGCTATAGAAGGTGTTACACACGCGCGGTCAACTTGGACGGAATGGGGGAACCGTGCATCAGACTCTTAAATATAAGGGGGTCTGGTGCATTTTTTAAAACACAGTGGGAAAACGCGCATATTTCGTTAAACATAGGGGGGTTTGGTGCAATTTACCCAGAGTTCATATTTTAAACATTTTTTAGACTTTATTTTAAA